TTCCCAGCTTCATGATATAGCGATTTTATGAATTTAGTAGGGTTATAGTCACTGTTTTCATTTGGTTCAGTCATTTTCATGCCTTGGACAAGATCTGAGCTCGGGAGTTGAAGTCCACACATCTTCAAGTTGCTGACATTGAGAAACACTGTTGTATGCACAGAGCCAGCTAGACAGGCAGATCTGAGCAGCCTTTCCAAACAGGCATTAGATGAAGGCATTAGAATGGTGTTTCTCAATCTCAGCAGCGTTTTAAGACATGTGGACTTCAACTCCCGAGCTCAGATCTTGTCCAAGGCATGAAAATGACTGAACCAAATGAAAACAGTGACTATAACCCTACTAAATTCATAAAATCGCTATATCATGAAGCTGGGAAAGGTCATCTCAGCCACTAAGCAACCTTCCTGCTCTGGGTTGGAGACCACATTAAAGCATCCATGACAGAAAGCTATTTGAACATATCCATGTCTAGGCAATCAGCTATGCTGTCAAACTGCTTTTGCTGTTAGGACGTTATTCACATGGAACTTACTTCCATTTTATACTGTGTTCTGAACTCCACATGACAGAAAAGGGCTCATAGCTTTTGGTAGGACATCTCGTGGATATTTAAAGCATGGTATCATATTCCCCCTCAGTCTCTTCTTCTCAGGGCTGAGCACACCCAGCAATGTTGATCTCTTCTCACAGGACTTGATTTCTAGTCCATGATCATGCTTCTTGCTCTAGCATGATCATACTTCCAGTTTGACCACACCGTCTGAAAGTGTGGAGCCCAGAACTTGATGTAGCATTTGAGGAAAGATCTGGCCAGCCCAGAACAGAGCAGAACTATTTGTTCCCCATATTTGGAAATGATATATTTCTGCTGAAGTAGCCTGATAATATGTTTGCCTTGCTGAGATCTTTTTCACAAATGCTGTTGTTGAGCTAAGTAAGTGCTCAACTTACATGCGTGTAAATCAGGTGCAAGCCGACTGCATGCAGCTCCACAGCGCACCAAAGTCACATTACGGAAATCTGGTGGCAAAAGGCAAGACATTTCCATCCACTTTTGTGGCTCTGGGGTAGTTTTATGGATAGAAATGACTTTGGTTTGCTTTTGTGAGACCTTATTCTTCCATCCTCACCCTTAAAACTTCCCCAAAGGCAAAAACCAGGCCAAAAAAAAATGACCTGTGCCTTTCCCAATGAGGTCACAGCATCTTTAGATAGTTTCCTGTGGCCCTTGAAAAAGTCAGAAGGCTGAGTTTCAGCTTCCAACAGATCAAACATAATGGGCAATGGGAGAGTAAGACTTGGTATAGTAAAGGCCTTTTCTCTACTAACCAAGAACTAGCATTTTCCTACGACTTTGAGCAGTTATAGAAATAATTATTTGCAGTGACTTTAATCAATATTTACAAATTGAAATACATTAAGCCTTATAGAAGTCATGGCCAAATTCAAGTTCTGGATCTCTTAGTTATTCTTGTTATATTTAAAATAACTGCAAAAGATTTTGACTACAGTACTGTATGCCCTTTTAATTTAATGATCAGATACCACCCCCTACTGGTGAGTCTCTGTCATTGGATCTTCCAGTTGATTCCATAGGATCTCAAAGATGCTTATCCAAAGTTAGTATCTGGACAACAAACTGAGCAGACAGAGAGATCACTTGGTCAGCCTTCTTGACTTTGGTGAGTATCGTATTTATACCAGTTAATTTTACATTTGTATGTATGCTTAAAAGCGTATACAAATATTATGCAAATCTGTGCTTTTGGGGGCAGGAGATGCATAAATAAATAGTGCTCTTCTTGACTCCTCGGCGGCATTTGATACCATTGACCGTGGTACCTTTTTGGGTTGGCTGCAGGACCTGGGGCTGGGTGGAACAGTTCTGTGCTGGTTCAGCTCCTTTCTCCAAGGCCAAACCCATTCGGTGTTGATAGGGAGTGAGACCCATGGTCCCTACTCTGTGGGGTGCCTCAGGGTTTGGTGCTCTCGCTGCTCCTATTTAACATCTACATGAAACCATTGGGTGAGGTCATCCAGCACCATGGGATGAGGCATCATCAGTATGCTGATGATACTCAATTATATATCTCCATCCCGGGTGACCTAAGTGATACTCAGACCCTTTTGTGGTGCCTGGAGGCTGTGGGGGCCTGGATGGGGGACAACAGGCTTCAACTGAACCCTGGTAAGATGGAGTGGCTGTGGGGACAGGGAGCCTCAAGATCTAGGGGTTTATCATCTTTTGTTTTTGGTGGGGGCACACCACCCCAGACAGAACCGGTG